ACATCAGCTAGATAGATCAATGCCATGCTCCAGGCAGCTGTCAGAAGTTCAGGCTTCTTCTGTCTCCCTGTTCTGCTATCCCAGCATGCCTCCTTTGTCTGTATGATCCACAATGGCTCACCAGCACATTCTGAATTCATCCAGTAAGAGGGGAAGTGCACAAATTCATATGTATACATCACTTTTGCCCACAGACCATTGGTCAAAACTTAGTCACATGGCCACCTACTTGCAAAGGATGCTGAAAGATAGAGAAATAATGTTGAGCAATATGGAAGAATTCACTTCCCATTAGAAGTGAAAAGTAATATTGAAAAACAGTCAATGGTTCCTTCCAAGATCATAAAGAAAACAGTAGTGAGAATCAGTAGGCAAGTTTTTAATAATTGTGTTATGGTTCTAAAAACATTGAAATACGTATTATACTCTTTGTTAAATAGTTATTTCTGTAATATTTGAGCAATACCATCCCCTTACCATCTCAGCCAATATGCCATTCCTCAGGATGCTGTGGGCTTCCCCCAGGATCAGGTAACGGAAACACCAATTACTGCCCCACCAGGGCCTCCCAGACTGATCCAGCCTAGTGGCCTCTCTTCTCTGATTGGTACCCAAGTCTTACTGAATATTTATTTATTTACTTATTTGGTACTGGAGATTGAACCCAGGGGTGCTCTACCACTGAGCCACACCCCCAGTCCTTTCTATTTTTATTCTGAGACAGAGACTTACTAAGTTGCTGAGATTGACTTTGAACTTGTGATATTTCTGTTTCAGCCTCCTGAGTAGCTGGGATTACAGGTGTGTGCTACCACACATGACTGTCTTACTGAACTTGTAAAATGTGTCAAATATAACTTATGGCAACAATATATGAAAATCATATTTTATGAAAAAGTTGATGATACCTAACCTAATATAGAAAAGGTTTGGGGATGAGCAGCTTAGCTAACACTTTTAAACATTTGTAATACTACTTTTAAGTTTTATTTTAAGTGCCTATAATGTGCCAAGACCTGAACAGGGTTCAGTGCTTTATATGTGCTCTCCAAGCTCTCAAAGGAACCCTGTATGCTGGAAATGATTTTCATATTACCCACAAAGTAGCTGAAGTTCACAGACATTGAGTTCCTTGTAAAAGACATACAGAAGGGGCTGGGGTTGTAGATCAGTGGTGGAACATTTGCCTAACACATGTAAGGCACTGGCTTCGATCCTCAGCACCACATAAAAATAAATAAATAAAATAAATGTATTGTGTCCATACTGTGAGCATCAGTATTATGCTCCTTGGCATCATATATATAATATATATATCTTTATATATATGTCTTTATATATATATATGTATGTATGTATGTATGTGTGTGTGTATATATATATACACACACACATATAAAGACATACAGACAGAGTCAAGATTTAAACCCTGGGTATGTATCTTCAAACTAGAAATTTTTTCCATAGGGCCATGGTACTCATAAACAGAACATATGAAGAGCTCTTGCAAACAATAATAAAAAGACATTTTTTTAAAAGGCAAAAGAATTGGACAAACACTTTACAAAAGATAATACATTCAGAACCAACAAGCCCATAAAAAAGGCTCAGCGTTTTTGATCATCAGGGGAACCAAATTAAAACCACAAAGGGACACCACTACATACCCCCTGGGAGGGGAAAAATTTAAAAATTCTAACAATACCAAATGTTGGAGAAGCCGCAGAGCAACTGGATCTTTTATGTAATGCTGGGGAAAAATATAAAATGCTTTAGCCGTTTGGAAAACTGACGTTTTTCATATAAATATTTCTCTACTTCATGATCCAGGAATTTCAAAAGAAATGAAATTATCTCTCTATAGGAAACAAAAAAAAAATCTATATAAGAATGCTCACTGTGGCTTTATTTCTAAAATTCTGACTATGGAAACAATGCAAATGTCCACTAATAGGAGAATGGGTAAACAAATTGAGGTATTTTCATACAGTAAGACATTGTCCAGCCACAAAAAGTAACAGACTGTTTAAACATACAACATAGATGAACCTCAAAATTATTATGTAAAGTGAAAAAAAAATCCAGGCACACAGGAATGTGGTCCACTTTCATGAAGTCCAGGATCATGCCAGTCTAATCTCTGGGAATAAAAACAGAACAGGAGGGATGGATAACTGGGAAACGGCATGGAGAAACTTTCTGGGTGATGAAATTTTCTGCATTTTGATTCAGCCATTGGATACACAGGTATATTATCAAAACTCATCAAACTACATATTTCTCATCTGTTCATTTTCCTGTATTATGTTTCAGAAATAAGTAAAATTTGCTTATGAGTTGCATCTCCCAGTATTTTATGCTCCTTGGCATTGTAAGTATTCAAGTTAGACGAATGCTTATCAGAGATACTGTAGAGGGTTCAGGTTGAAAGTTTAGATTAAGTAATTTTAAAAACTCAGAAATTTGCTGGGCGTGGTGGCGCCTGCCTGTAATCCCAGAAGCTTGGGCATCTGAGGCAAGGGGATTCCGAGTTCAAAACCAGCCTCAGCAACTTAGTGAGGCCCTAAGGAACTCAGCAAAACCCTGTCTCTAAATAAAATATAAAGAATGGCTGGGGATGCAGCTCACTGGTTAAGTACCTCTGGGTTCAATCCCTGGTACTGTCCCCACCCCGCATCCCTGCCCACCCACCAAACCAAACCAAACTAACTCACTCATATTTTTAGGACTTTAATATACATGATCCTGAACTAATCATATATTTGATTAAAAAGCAAAATCTACCTTCATTTTCTATTTTGGAAAATTCAATATGGATTGAGAAATGGATGCTACCCCAAACTGAAAACCATTTAAAATTTGTTTCTTTTTCTTTCCTGAAGTTCTCCTAATTAGAGAACTTCAGTTAGAGAATATTTTCTCTAACTACTTCCCTCCTGACACCCCAACTCATCAATTTCTGCCCTTTCTTGAAGACTCTATGAGGAAGTCAACAGCACGAGGAAGACTTCCGTATAGACACCATTGCCCACGTTGGTGCTCTGTGCTCATACTAGGTTTACCTGTGGCAGAGCATTTATCCCAGGCTAAAGGATGCCAAGATTCCCTCCAGCTCAAGGACCATAGCTCTTTGAACATGTGATTCCAGGCTTGAAGAATGAAGAGAAGTAGCCAAGCTGTCAGCAGTAGGATCTTCATTATGTCCTACAGGTGTTACATCAAATGATAAAACATGACCTTTGTTTCATTGGAAACCACATCACTTAGAGTTTGGTTGGAAGTAGTACTTCCAGTTAAGAGAACCAGTTGAGACTGTGGAACTTGGGTAGAGTTGGAGTCTTGCAATTTTGGGGTGGGTCGCAAAGACACTTAAGTTCAGCAGATACATGAGAACAGATCTCTATGGATGCCAGGGACATGGGGTTTGAAAGAAAAGGACGAATGAAACTCAAGGCCAAATGCTGAAGCTAATATTTACTAAGAACATTCTATGGTGTCAGATTCTGTGCTAAACACTCAGGGCCCATTAATCTTATTTAGTCTGCATATGACTCTCAGGAGAGAGGTTAAGTAGGGTGCCCAAGATTTCACAGCTAGTGAATGATAGAACTGGGTCTCGTTTCCAGGTCTGTCTAACTCAGAAGTCTGTTTGTTTAATCACCAGTCTCTCCTGTGTCCTAGAAAGGAATTGCCAGTCATTTAACCCTGTCTCTTGGCTCCTGGTACTTCAACCAGCCCAAACTGGCAGTCCCCTTTGCTATTATTTTTGGTTTTCTGGGAAGTGGAGTTGATGACATTCTTTGGTAACCTATTGCACTGTCTCTCACATCTTCAGCAAGTATGTTCTTTTTTGTGTTTAATCTGTGTTCTCCTCACTTCGTTTTGTCATTAGCTTAAGACTCCATTTATACTTATACTTTTAGGGGAGGTAGCAGGATACCAGAAACTGCTGCAGTGAAAACTTGAGATATTTGGGTGCACCTTCTGTTTTTCTGAGGTCTGTCAGGTTTCTGTCAGCCATGTAATCTGGAACCATATGAAGGGAGATCAATGAGGGAATATGATGGGACAAGAAGCAAATGCTCATTAAAAGAGTGGAAAATGGGCTCATTCTCTTTAAGCTTCCATTACAGCAAACTAAGAGTGTAGGATAGCATGGAGCTATGGTCCATCTAAGGAAAATGCAAGGCACATGTCTGATAGACATGGGAAATAGGAGCTGAAAACTGTAGTAATGAGATGCTGAAGTTTTGCAATAGTCTTCCCCCACCCCACCCCCATCACTTTGTCTAAACTAAAACCACGTCTAGTATATTTAGCACCTACTGGGCCCTGTTTTCTCTTTCCTCTCTTCTTCCTCTTCTGTGCATGTGACAGTCTTACTAGACAACACTTGTGTTCAAAAGCAGTATTGTGGGAACCCAGCATAGGGGTCCTTTGGCTCAAAAGCCTGGCCCTGATCCTCAGAGTTGCAACCCAAGAACCACCAGCTTGGGGAGTGTGAGGTTTTAAAGCTCTGGTAGAAAGCCTGGTAAAGGGCAGAACTTGAATATGATCCCAGCAGTCAAGACCCAGTGTGCACACTCTTACCTGGAAAGCTTTGTTGTTTCCCAGTTCATTTGTAATCCCCACCCACATTCCTAATCCCCTATCAAAACAGAAGTATCCTGTGAGGACCAATGCTTTTATCAGTGGTATGCAACCATTTTTTTTTTCTCTCTTTTAAAGAGCTAGGGCTACATCTTTTATAATTAAAATCTTACGTGGAGTCTCAGTATATAAAACAATGAAAGAAGATGTGTGGTGTTCAACTGTGAGTAGGAGATCCCAAGCTCTCTTTCTTGTCCTTCTTTTCTCTTGGCTCTCTCCTCTCAGGAAGGTAGATTCTGGAATAACTTTGCAGTTTCCTAGGGTTCTTCAGAGCACACAGTGACCAAGTAAACAGTAATAAAATTGATCTGTTTTATCTTTTAGTTTCTTCCTCTTGTTTTCAACTAAAGGTGCAAAATGAGACCCAGAATAAGTATACTTTGATGGGGACCAGAGCAAAGAACCGGAGCACAGAGCATTACCTAGAAGAGCAGAACTGAGCACAGCATTATTACAGTGGAGCATCCTGGCTAAGGTAAGCCTTATAAAATCATGTACAAGTAAAGGAAAACTAGGCCATCAGTGCCTCAAGTGGTTTAGAAGGAAGGATGAAGTAAGAAAATTGTGAACTCGGCCCACATATTGATACTTTCATGCCCCACCCAGTGCCCTGAACAAACACTCAGGCTCCAGCATTTCTTCATGTTGCTTATGCAATAACCACATGCTCTTTGCACAAGCGAAGAAACAGGAACAAAGTAGTTCTGACTTTTTTTTTTGCAGAAGGGGGGGAGATTCTGGGGTTCTGGCCTTTGTTTATGTCTGTAACTATTGTGAACCTACCTTGTAGCAGATGTCTACTGAGAAGATAGGATTGTGAAATTTCCGGAGAAGAGGAAGTTGTTGGCTTAAACAACAAGGCCACCCAAGAGATCAGGGCCAGGTGTAAATGTAGAGCTAAACTTTGAGGTGGGAGGAGCTTTCAGCTCTGTGTACTTCCTCAGTTATGCTAGCTGATGGAGGAAGAGCAGAAAAGGACCAAAGCTGTGGGAGGTTGATGTGAATGTAAAGGGTGGGAATAGAGATTGAGAAGATTACAGTAGTCAGGCCAGCGGGCTGCTCAGGATGGTGCTGGTATTCCCACTCAGTGCTAGATACAGGAGCTGTGTCAAAGCACCTGCACTGATGTGGGTCAGTGCTAATTTCATGCATATTGTCTGTTTTCCCGTAAGATGTCTTTATTCTTTCTCCTCATTGTATGTGTTTTAGGAGGCTGCAATGCCAACTGCATCACCAGGATCCCTGATACTCCGGCTTCCTATTGCCTGTGGCCAATTGGAAGTGCTGGCAGGAGATCATAGTGTGTCATAGAAAGGAAGTCAGGGTAATTCTTCCTCTAGTTCTCTGCCTTACAAGTAGCTACTGGTCAGCCATGTCCCTCTACTGAAGGTCCCAGCTCCTTATGGGCCATCCTCACTCCTCAATACAGCTACCCTCTCTGGGTTCCAGTAACTAGCTCAGAATTCTGTATTACCCCTGTAAATGTCCCCCACTTGAAAATCCCAATTTTATTAAGCTCTTCTTAAAATATCCAATTGCATGTGCCATCTAAGACCACTTCTGATAGCCAATCAACATCCATCAAACTGACAGCATGATAATTAAGATCATAAAAACTGCCCCCAAGACAAGTTTAAGTACTGACCCAGACTTTGTCCTATAATTTTATTAGTTTGAATTGTTACAAAGGGGACTTTCAAAAGTCCCCTCTCCCCCTTTGGTGGTACTGGAGATTGAACCCAAGACTTCTCATGTGCTAGGCAAGTATTCTACCACTGAGCCACATCATCAGCCCTTAATTTTTTCTGTGTCCTATACTTCCAGTTTGAATAAGTTCCCTTCAGATGAATAGTAATACCTGGGTAATACCCTTGTTAAATATGTATAGGTGTTAGATATATGCTTGCTTTTTCACTCAATTGTGCAAAGATGTAAAACTAAAACTGTACTGAAGCTGTAAATTATTAAGAGTAACTAAATATTAATAGATTATAGTGCAGTAATTCAGAGTACAAGCTTGCTGTCAGACAGATAGGCACTGAAATCTTAACTGTGGGCTTTGAAAAGTTACTTAATCTCTCCAAGCCTTGGTTTTTCTCTTCCATAAATAGTTGTATAATTGGGATCAATAGAAAAATTTGCCCCTGGAGATCAAATTTTTTCAATTGATTATTCTATTCTTCTAGTCTATATTCTTGTCTTATGGTCTACAGATGTCAGAGAGAAAGCAGCTACATACAGCTATTACTAGAATTTCTACTCTATTATAGTTAATATGTACAATTCGTGTCAAAAGGTATGCAAGCATTACTACAAACAGCATCGGATACAGCTTGGTGGTCCAGGTTATTACTTGCAAATCCACAAGTCCTGTTTTAGCCACAAAATCAAGTATCGTTGCAGCTGTTCTCCCAAGAGGGAAATATGGGGTTTTGGTATCATAGATACCACTCATCAACTAGCTATTAGTTATTTGGAAATTGTTAGCAACCGTTTTGCCCAAAATTTACTGCCTATTTTGCAATGCGTAATTCAGACTTGCTGTACATTCTTTCCAATTTATGATCTATGTATAATAATTTTCAGCCTCTTTTTAATTTTCAACATACTCAGTTTAGCAATTCATGTCACTTCTTACATTGAGTCATATTAGAGCAAATGTAAAGCAAGGTCCAAGACCATGGGAAGAGTTTATCCAGATATATTAAACTCATTTTTGACTGAGTTTATATGGTACAATTAATATGGAAATAATGCTTCAATTCTTTTTTAATGCATATCTCAAAACACATTTCTGGTAACTAATATGATACTTTGACTCTGGGTTTTAGTATAACCTTTCAAGGGCAAATTCTTCAATTGAGTACATCTGACAGACAACTTAATCCGATAACCGTAACTACTTTAGTGTGTTGTGAAAGCTAAATGAGGTTTATTTATAAAGTAGGAATACAGTAAGGACTTGAAAAATGTTAACTGTCATCATTGCTATTAGTTTTAATTTGAAATCCTCCAATGACATGACGATGAACATCTTTTCGTGTGCTTATTAGCTATCTGTCTACTTTGGTGAGGTATCCATTCAGATCTTTTGCCCATTTTTCAATTGGGTTGTTAATTTTCTTATCGCTAAGTTTTAAGTATTCTTGGTAGCTTATGGATAATGGTCTTTTATCAGATATGTCATTTACAGATATTTGCTGCTAGTCTGTGCCTTATTTTCTCATTTTTTAAATATTATTGCTATTTTGATACTAAAGTGTTATTAAAATGATGGATATATACTAACAAGAACCAATAAAATAAACTCTAAAAAAATTAAAATCATTACACATTCTAGTGAATTATCTCATACAGTTGTTGTGGGGATTACATGAGTTAATATTTCCAAAATACTTAGGAAGCTACTATAGTAAAAAATTATGTGTTAATTAATACACAAGTATTATTTAAGTACAAATACCTAGGAATAATTCACTTTCTTTCTCCATATCTTTTTATTATATGACTTCTAACTTCATCCTGAAATTTTTTTTCCTAGGTTTATAGACCTTCCTAAGCACATACAGAATTAAGTTCTGACTTTTTGCATCAGGTCAGTTTACGGTCAAAAGTTATTTCAAGTTCTTGAATATTTATTCCTCACTATGTTAGCCAACATTTCTTCACTATAACAAAATATCCAAGAAAATCAACTTAAAGGAGGAAAGATTTATTTTCACTCAAAGTTTCAGAGATTTCAGTCCATGGTCACTTGGCCCTGCTGCCTTGGGCCTTTAGTGAGGCAGAATGTGGTAGAGCAAAGGTGCTCGCTGTGGTGGTCAAGAAGCAAAGCAAGAGAGACAGAGTGAGGAAGGGGCTGGGGACCAGATATACCCTTCCAGGCACACCCCCAGTGACTGACTGTCTCCAATAGGCCCCATCTCCTACAATTTCTACCACCTCCCAATGATTCATTCAATTATGAACACATCACAGGATACATCCATTGATGAGGTCAGGTCCCTCATCAATGTCCCTCATCAGTTCCGTAAAGCCTGCTCTGATAATTACTGCGCTGAAGATTAAGCCTTAACACATTAGCCTTTGGGGGACATTCCAAATCCAAACCACAATACCCACACTCTTAAATGAGATCATATATATCTTTTTTAGAGCATGTTAATTATACATAGCAGTTGGGTTAATTTGGACAAAATCATACATGCAAGGAATTTGATTTCAAGCCCTATCCCCCCATATATCTCTCTACCACTATGGTAGAACAATTGGACCTGCTTTCCAACCCAACTTCTCACCTTGACCCCCACCCCAGTGACATAAATCCGGAAAACAAGTGATTGGGAAGAAATGACTAGAACTGGAGCAGTTGATTCTCCATTAATTTAGGGATTTATGTGCATTAAATTTGGAGATAACTCAGAATAGTGAAGGGATAAATGCTTTATTTAAAACAATGATCCAGAGTTCCCGCTCTCCAGGTGTCAAATTTATGATAATGGGGAATATGAAATTTCTTATTTAGACGAGGCAAGTGTTTTCATGACTAAACTCATCTTTGATTTTGTGGCTTGTGTTCCGGTACACAGGCGAAGGTGCCCGAGGCCCAGAGTAGATATTGCTGTCTTACCCCTCCCTTCCCCTGTCCTCTGGATAGAAGCTTAAAGTGCCTCTTTTCATGCAGGAGCCAACAGACCCCAACACCAGAGCCTTTTAGTCATAGCTGAGAGCAGAAATTCTGAATATGTGAGTAAATCTGCTGATACCCTCTGAAGTCTGAGGACGTAAATGTTACTTATACAAGAAAAAAACTCAAGGGGTCTGAAATTTGACTATTTCTTTCGAGAAAAGGGTAGATTCTAAGAGAAAAGGTGTTTGGTGGGAATGGGGGTTAGAGGAGAAGGCTAATAAAAATGAGAGAGAAGAAGCTGGTACCAAGGGAATGTCCGTGAGGGATGCTCTCTAAAGGGCTCCGTGAAAAGATCCAGCTCCTTATCTATGGTACAAACAAACAAATTCTAGAACAGGCACCTTGCTTGATTTCTCCCAGGCTCTTCCCTCTAAATTAGCAAGGAGTCTTTTGGATGTAAATGATAGAGATGAAAACTAGCCAAAGTGTTAAAGGGAAATTGTAGGTTTAAATAAACAGGAAGACTAAGAGGTGAACTGATTTCAGGTTAGCTGGATCCAGCGGTTCGAATTATAACATTAGGACTTTGTTTTCTCTGACATCTCTTAGTTCTACAGACAGCTAATTATGTTGATTTCAGTCAGAATTCCTCCATGTGATATCAAAGGTAATCACTAGATATCCCTAGCTTGTGCCATCCTTCAAGATAAAGAGAAAACAGAGAACCTTTTCTCCCCAGCATGTCATTCAGTTGATATCAGTCTCTGCAGAGGACCCTGATGAGACTTTGTCCATCTCTCTGGATCCAGGAGGATGAGATATTTTGACTAGTCAACTAGAGATTTATGCCTACAAGAACCACATGGTATGGGGAGAGACCTTTCCCAGGTATTCATGGCAATCTCAATTCCGTAATTCTGATTAGAATACTTCTCTAAACTATGAAATGAACTTATTTTTACTCCCATGGTGTATTTGATGCCACCTCAGGCATCAAGGACAGGCCAAGGATCTTCCTCTCAGAACTCTTTCCCTCATGGTGGATCAGCAGGTGATGCTTTGCCTAGATATTGAAATCGAGATTTAAAACCTTGGAAGGTTACTGGGCTGCACCACCGCCCCAACTTTCCTTCCTACCTCCCTAGCTGGTCACTAAGGCCACACCTGTTACACAGGAAAAGAAAGCATCTGGCACAGATTATATCAGTACACTAACCACATTTATTCTTTCCTACTCTCACTTCACCAATCTGTTTTTGACTCCACTGGGGTCAAACCAAGAAGACAGACAGAAAAGAGATCATGCCATATTAGTCATATAATTCCTCTGTGAAAACTTGATGATGACCTCTTATATTTCAGTGAAGCTTTTTTTTTTTTTTTTTGACAGCTGGCTTTTAAAAGTCGTCTACTAGATAGTTTCAATTTAATGACCAATTTCTTTTTAATAACCTTTCCAGGCCCCCTGGAGTTTTGGTCATTGAAATAGAACATAATAGAATTTTCTCAAGAAATAAAAGATGATTTTTTAAATATAGCTTCTCACATTTAAACACATTTGCCTATGTGGTCCATCTGAAAAGCTAGAACTAATGAAATGACATTCTCATTTTCTTATTTTCAGAGTCTTCTCCTCCACCTTATGCATCTTTCAAAACCCTAATCTAAAATTATTCCTTCCAGGAAGTCTTCATTGATTAATTACTCCCAGGTCTGATGACTTATTTTCTCATCATATAAATAACAGCAGTGGATTATGTTCACCTTTTCTGAGTTCCTAAGTGGATTTGAAATTTCATGAGTCTTGGGATTTGAATGTATCCTTTGCACCCCCAATTTCTTAGGCAGGCGTCTTCTTTCCTTTTTCTATAGAACCTTCCCTTTCCTTGCCCCTCATTTCTTTACTTTAAGAAAAGACAAAAGAGAAACTTATTTATTGGTGTAGTGAGGATATCCTGAGCTCCAGAAATTGCCAGAGCCTAGGTGAAAGTCCAGCTTTATTTACTGACTGCATGGGAGTTAGTTAAAAGCTTGATTTCTGACATAAAGAAGATTCTTGAGGCTTTGTCTGAGAGTTAAATAAGATGTGTTCAAAAGCGTGTAAGGATGTTTATAGATCTTTTGGAAAGTCCTTTTTTTTGCTTAGTGATATGATCATAGAAGATACTGAGTCCATGGAATATCTTTCTCACTTGTTGTTGATATCTAAAATTCTTTTCCAGAAGACAAAACTTGTTATGCAAATTAGAAGTAAGATTAAAGTTGCCGATAATCTTGAGGCAAGTAATAATGAACTTAAATATGTTAACTCTGCCACATACATTAAATACCTGGCCCAGCACCCCATCAAGTTTCCTTCCTTTGCCTGTGATTGAGAACGTTAATTGGCCATCCCTTACCTGCGACTGACAGCTTTATTTGTTATCCCCCCCTCAGCCTGTGATGTGCCTCAGAACTCTCTACACAGGATGCTTGACAGACATTACCAATCGTAGTGTGAGAGGTGATATTAAGCCCTTATTGTTCCACCTATGTTAAGACATTCAACATGGACACTGGTTACTTTTCAAAGAGCAGGATTTGATTTAAGGGTAAGAGGTACATTAGAGGAAAACAATAAGACAGCAATTATTTCTGGGTGAGGAGATGAGAAAGGGCACCAGGAGAGAAAAGATGTAACTTCTCTAGGCTGACACATTTTCTAAGCTGCAACCATTATGCACAAATGTATTCCTCCAGGACTGAACTGAAAGGATTGCCTTATGGACATGTTAGTTGTTGACCTAGTTCCATTTTCTTATCTTCATTGTCTTCCTTTCTTCATCAACTTTGATCCATTTCTTTGTTCCAAAATCCATGTGTCTAATTCCCCTATTTTTGAGAGGAAATAGGGATTAGGTTATGTTTAAGGTCAACTATGACTCTAGACCCTTGATTCCATGTTCCTGACTAAGTTTTTCTTCTTCATTCAACCCTCAACTTCTGGGTTAACACATCCACAGTCAGGTTCCCCAGTAATGACCCAATTATTGGCAAGTCTGTGAACTGTCATCTTACCTGATTGCATAGACTCCTATCACTAGATACAGTCAGGTCAATGATGGGATTAAACATAGGCTGGAATTGTAAGGTTCACTGTTTTATCTTGACACTTATAAGCCTGCACAAGGCCATTCACAAAGTGATAGTCAAATACATTGAGGTCAACTCAAAGTCACTTATTAGTGCCTAAAGTTAGTATAATCTTTTATTATAATTATAACACACTAAAGCCAAGCTGGATTTCTAAGCTTATCAATTCTCTTTTCTGAACTTTGGTTTTCTACTCTAACCAAAAAGGAGGACTGAAGTATTATGGTAAACTCCAGGGCCTCTGCTGGTTCTCACATTCCATGCTTCTTTGGAAACAACGGAGAGACTATTAGTAGAGAGCAGTGTAGGGCTTTGGAGCTAGGAGAAGCAGAGTTTGGGAGCTAGAACAGTTTTGCCTGGTTCTTGCCAGATTCAGGAGGCGCTCTTCTCACCATAATTAACACTTTTACTCAGAAAATCTGAAATCTGATATGCTCCAAAATCTGAAACTTTTTGAGTGCCACAGTGACACCATGAGTAAAAAATGCCACATCATAAAACTCTGCTTTATGTATAAAATAATTAAGGCTATTACATAAAATTATCACTGTGCTAGGGCAGAGGGGATCAAGTATCATGGAGCCTTATATGGTCCTTGTAGGAAATTTGAATCTGACCAAGAGAGCGATGGAAGCCACTGGATTGTGTCTCCCTACCAGAGAGTTCCATTTGGATTCTCTATTCCTATTAAATGAGGAAAGGTTTCATCCTTAGCCAGTTTGCTGCAAATATAATAAACAGATCAGCACCTCACACCTATTAGGATGACTGCCATTTTTTTAAAAAATCCATAAAATGAGCAAATACGTGTTGCAGAGGATGAGGAGAAATTGGAAACTTTGTGCACTGTGTGTGGGAATGTAAAATAGTGCAACTGCTGTGGAAAACAAGATGGAGTTGCCTCAAAAAATTGAAAATAAAATCTTACATAATCCAGGAATTCCACATCTGAGTATGTGTTCCAAAAAATATTGAAAGTAAAGTCTTGAAGAGATAAGTGCATTTCCATGTTCATGGTAGCATTATTCATAATATTCAAGGGGTGGAAGCAACCCAAATCATGACTGATGGATGCATAGATAAGCAAAGTGTGACACCTACAAACAATGGACTATTACTCAGCCTTAAAAAGAAAGGAAATTCCTTCACAAGCTACCAACTTGATAAACCTTTAGGTCATGCTAACTGAAATAAGTCACACACAAACAAAAATACTCTATGATTCCACTTAAGTTGGATATTTAAAAGTATTCAAGTTCATGGAAAGATAAATAAAATGAATAGTGGTTTCCAGAGGCTTTGGGGAGGAAGGAATGGGGAATTGTTCAGTGGGTAGACGGTTTCTGTTTTGTGAGATGAAAAAGTTCTGGAGACTGGTGGCATAGCAGTTAACATTGCTGAACTGAACATGCTTAGGTGGTAGGATTTATGTTGTGTGTATTTTACCACAATAAAATAAATCTTGTTATTTACAACTCTTTTTGTTTGTTTGTTTTAATATCTTTTAGATGTTAATGGACCTCTATTTATTCATTTACTTATAGGTGGTGCTGAGACTTGAACCCAGTGCCTCACACATGCTAGGCAAGTGCTCTACCACTGAGCCACAACCCCAGTCCTATTTGTAACTCTTGATGTGCTTAAATCAAGATCCTCTCAACAGCATGTAATTCAAATGCTAGTTAGTTGGGGGGAAAAGGAAGCAGATCAAGGATAAGATGATGACATTAGTATATGTACATGTCAAAACATACAAAAACTGCCTGAACCAAAAAATATATAGATATCTCTGGCTAGGATGCTGCTCAGTGGTAAAGTGCTTGCCTAGCATGTGTGAATTCCTGGTTCAATCCTCAGTGCAGAGGAGGAGGAGGAGGAGGAGGGGGAAGAGGAGGAAGGGGAGGAGGGAGTGGGGGAAGAAAAGGGGGAGGGGGAAGGAAAGGGGGAAGAGGGAGGGGAGGGGGAGGAGAGGGGGAGGGGAGGGGGAGGGAAAGGACAGGGGAGTGAAAGAGGGAGAGTAGGGAAGGGGGAGGGGAGGGAAAGGAGAGGGGGAAGGGAAGGGGGAGGGAAAGGAGAGGGGGAGGGGAAGTGGGAGGGTAGGGAAAGGGGGAGGGGGAGTGAAAGGGGAGGGGGAGGAGGAGGAGGAAGAGGAGAAAAACCTCTTACCAAGACATTTCACAACCTAGCAACCGGAATTTAGTATCTACAATTGGCAAATTCTGCTATTGCAGGGGGTGCAGAATATATCTCTCAAGATTTCTCAACTATGAAAAATCTTATCTATCCATCCAACCAAGACACCCCCAAGACACTTCTTCGTCTCCTCCCTCTCTGGGTTAAAAAAAAAAAAGAAAAAACCCATCTCTACCTAAACTGGATATGTGGCGCATGCTTATAATTCCAGTTACTCAGGAGACTAAGGCAGGAGGATTTCAAATTCGAGACCAGCCTGGGAAGCTTGGAGAGACCCTGTTTCAAAATCAAAAATAGATGGCCTGGAGATGTAGTTTAGTGGAAGAACAACTTGCCTAGCCAGTGGGTTGAATCCCCACTGCTGAAATAAACCATCTCTTCTTTCCCTTTGTTCTTAACATAATTTTCTCTGTGCTCTGCTTAAAATAGGGTTGCTATGCTCAGGCATTTCTGATCCATGTTTCTCTGGCCTCTGAGACCTTGAGAATGGAGACTGGTTGATTCTTGGTAGAGCTGTTGCTTGACTTGAAGTTCATTGCTCCTTGGCACCATCCTTACCAGGCAGAAGGCCCCACCCCCACTCAGCTGCCATTGGGCAAGGATTCAATTCTCCATACTCCGGGTAATCCTCAAGTAAAACCTAGAATATCTTCAGACCATTGCCCAATCTCTTAGAGATACATTTCCACTCTAGTTATCATGGTTAATGTCTGAGCTTTAATGTTCCCTCCTGAGCTATGTTTCATCTAGCTAAGTCAGGCTTTAGTGATAATTAGAAAAGAGGTGACCGACATGGGGATTTTATTCCCTGGCTTAGTTGTTGGAGATATTTTTTTTTCCTGCTAATTTATATGACAAATCTGGGAGGCACTGTTGACTAGAATAATTTATTTTATGGAGGTGAGAGGTTATTTTTAAAAATTTTTCCATTGAGCTTACTGACCTGTTACATAAAGTCAGAAAAATTTGATAGCATTGTTTAAGCATCCTCATAGAATCTATGT